ATATATTTTACTCAGACATGAAGAAGGATAAACTATGCAACTCGAGACCATACTCGTAGGTGAAATAAATCAGACTCATATGTGTAAGTGTCATATTGTCTCTCTAATGTGAGAATCTGAACAAGTAAATAAGATCCAAAATGTACAATAGATACTACAAGTTGGGAAGAAACTGTTTTTTAAAAAAAGACAAACTGTTATTGGAGAAAGGGGAAAGGAGCAAGGGGGAAAACACATATTTATATACAAGACAGTAAAGATATACAGCTAGTTTCTCTTATTTCATTGAAAAGAAAGGTTTGTGCTAATACTGTTTGTATGAGCTATCATGCCTTTGTCTTGTACTCTGCATAATTACTGTGAAGACAATATGCAATGTATTAATTATTGGAACTCTTCTACTAACCAGTTTTGAAATTCTGTCTTACTGTTACTTTTTCCCTTTAAAAATGAAAAGAAAGAATAACTGGTTGTTATATGCAGGACAGAGAAAAGCGGCTTAGAAAGCTCTGCCCACATGCTTTGGGATTGTTTTTTGGCCATGAAATTCGCTGTGCCACTGGCCTTTTCTTGAAAAGACTCTGAAGCGAGTGGTACATTTTTGCTGTTTTCCATGCACTGCCTGTATTTTTAGGAGGGAATCGCCTGCCCGCCCGCTGTTGGCGCTTGCAGAGCACAGCTCTGGCCCCTGGACCCGTGCGGGGAGACCCTGGACGTGCACCACTCGAGCTTGCACCAGCATTCCATTTGCACTGTGGGATCTGCCCCAGAGCCGTGGCTGCAGCTCCTTGTGTCCCATTCTGCCTCTTCTGAAGATAATAATTCTTCATTGGTTAGAGAAACCATTGAAACCCTGTGGGGCTGGGGAGACTCTGGGGGATTTAACTGCTTCATAAACAGTTTTCTTCTTACTCCCCTTTTTTGATGTTTTGAAACCTTCGAGGACTGCTGGTGTGTAAATTAGATTACTTATGATTTTTCCTCAAACTAATTTAGGATTCACTTTCAAGAGACAACTAAGTTATTTTTCCACCCATTCTTTAATTTTACAGTTTCCAAAGATGATTTTGTCTTCTCTTGATATTTATGTAATTATGGTTATGACTTTAAAAGTCTGTTTGCTCCTATTTTAATGGAGATCTTGAATACAGTAGAGGTAAATGAACCTGTTTAATCAACCATTTAAATGGAAGCTGTGATATATTCTTTATATTAAAAAACCGAAATGAATTAACTGTAACAGAAATGAATTAAACCTAACTCCAGTGCTCATGGGGTGGTGGATGATGTTAGGAAGTGGGGGGAGGCTCATCCCCACGCAGAGGCACAGGACATTCAGGCACTGTCTTTCTTGCTTGCCTGCTGTTTCTATGGGATCAGCTAAGTAGATGACAGATTATTTTATTTAGTTTTAATTAAACAAGCCTTCCCATAATGAACATATGGTTTTAAATGATTTCTCCAAGGCAACAACTTCTGGAGAAATCACAGAATTAGACTAATACTTAAGTGCACAGTAATATCCTGGTGCGAACACTTCATGGAGATCAAGGGAGGATGGAATCCGTAATGACCCCTGCAACTAAGTGCAGTGGAGTACAGTTGAAATGGCTGAGAGGGCTCTGGAGCAGGGTTTACATCCACCGGAGTTAATAAAGAAACGTGCCGCCTATTGTGACTCAAGATATAAACTAAAATGCAAAGTAGAAGTAGGAAGAGCAGAAAGGTATTTAAAGTCCAGCATTTGGGACATGGAAACTATATTTTCAGACAATATTAAAGAAATCTGAATGAAATCCAGAATTTGCTTAGAAAATCGTATTATCCTACATGCTAAATATTTATAAATTTCCTTTGCAATTTCTGAGGTAAGGTGCACATATGTGTCATTGGCACACATCTTATTTTTGCTATTGTGGTAAAAATGACACTGGAAACATGCAGGTAATATTGAAGATTGCGAAGTTTAGCTTCATGATTCCTTCTGAAAGAAAATGCTATTTAAAATATTTAAAATATATATTCTAAAATCTTCACTAAATGATACAAAAATAAGAAATCTGGGCTGACTTCAAATAAAATATAAACAACATCTTAGGATAAATCAAGCTTCAACCTGAGGATTTTGGTTTATCTCATTGCAAAGAGTTTGGAACGCAAGGTAAGGCCCGAGATCAGCTGTGGGGGGGGATCAGACAGGAACACTTTCCTAAAGGTGATACCCTTTATAGAAATAGAGAGCAACAGAAAGTCAAGCGAAGCTAAGGGAAAACAATAGCCCCTGAAAATTCCTAAATTAAATATTTTAAGGGCTAAACTGGTATTTCTTAATGTATTAAAAATATGATTGGAAATTCTTACAGGCAGCTGAAATCCAGAATCTGAGTAATTCTGTACAAATTTTGAAGAAAATTTGCATTTAAATGCTTATTCCTTTATTCATTCATTTATTTATTTTGGTTCCAGGGATCACACTGAAGACCTCACGCTTGCCAGGCAGAGGCTTCTGCTGCCGAGCCACCTCTCAGCCTTTGCATTTCAATGTTTAAAAGCAAAAATATGCAAAAAATGAAAACTGTCAGAAAACAAAATGGTCAAAGATAGAAAAGAACAAGAACATCAGGTATAAAAGTTATTGTATTATGTATTATGTATACATCATATCAATATAGAGAATGTATACATCATTACTGGGGGAAGGAGGGAAAGGGAGGGAGGGAAAAAGGGAAGGAGGACAAGGTAATTAACATTGAGAAATATACCAGAAAATACATAAAAATGACTGGAAAAGATTAATATACAGAATCAGAAGGATTATAGCCTAGTTATATCTAAATGAAATTCCAGGACACCCCTCTGTCTTCTCCTAACACACAAGCACACACATGTGCACACACACATACCCTTTAAGGTACCCAATAAGAAGAGACTGGGTGCCAAGGAATGATTATTTGAAGTATAGGTAGCTGATTTCTCATAGAAAAATATAGAAGAAAATGAAATCAGGAGTATGAGAGGTGGAGCTCAAACCCAGCCCAGGCAACTCAGTGAGACTATGTCAAAATAATAAGAAAAGAAAAGGAAAAGGGGTTGGGCATGCAGCTCAGAATGAAAGCCTGAGGTTCAGTACAAAAACTCTAAGTTTCTCTGCAGAGAGCAAGGTGAGCGCCTCAGCAGGCTTCAGCCTCTGGTCACTCAGGCCCAAGCTGGTAACAGCGGAAATCAAGGGACAGGGACCAAGACCAGACTGGTCAGATGAAGAGACTTTTTTTTCATACTGTAGCCTTTGTTTTGTGTGTGCATTTGATTCCACATTACGATAGATAGCCAAACATTTTGGACATATATATTTTCAGATGTCCTCAAGTGTCTATAATGTTTTCTGAAAAGCATCAAATTAATGTTTTGTAAATGTCTTTGTGTTGAGA